CAGCGCGCGCCCCACGAGGGGGGGGGGCGGACGCGCAGACAACGACCGCGGGGCGGGTTGGGTGCTGCCCGATGCCCTGGGATGCCCCGGCCGCCCCAGCCCAAGCCCAGCCATAGTCACCCTTGCCACCCTGCACTCTGAAACCCCTGTTTCCCTATGCTCCGCTGCCCCAGCAGACCTTTGCCATCCTCTTGCTCCCGCTGACAAGGCATGCCCAGCCGGGCTGCTGGGCCGGGCTGGGCTTCAGCTGCAGTGAAAAAAAAAAGCCAAAAGCAGCCCTTGAGCTGCACTGCCAAAACACCCCTTTGCACTGCACTTCTGGGTGGGACTGGGCTGGGCTTTTGCTTCATGCTGCAAAAAAAAAGCCAAAAGCCCAGCTCAGCCCAGGAACGCGGCACAAAGGAGCATTTTGGCACGCTGCGGCTCAGGGGCTACTTTTGGCCTTTTTTTTTTCCCTGCAGCTGAAGGCCAGCCAGGCCAGGCACGCCTCATCATCAGCAGGAGCAAGAAGATGGCGAAGGTCAGCTGGGGCAGCGAAGCTCAGGGCAGCAGGCAGGCATAAGGACATAGATGGGGGAGAGAGGCAGGTGGGGGGAGTTGAAGCACCCCTGTGGTTGTAAGTATGGGCGGGCTACCAAGTGCCCAAATTTTGATCATGTGATTGCGGGGACACTGCAACAGCCATAACTTCAGGCACTGTTTGTCACTTTTTTCAGCATGTTCATAACTTCAAATGGTCGCTGGATGAATGGTCGTATGTCGAGGACTACCTGACCCCATTCTAGCAACATTGGAGGAAATCCCTATCATCTCTGTTGTTGATTTCAACATACTGGATGCTTTTAATACTTGGAAAGCTCTTCATTTTTTCTTGCAGCATAAAGCTGGCAAAACATGCCTGGCTCACAATGAATAATTCCACTCAGCAGGGCAAAAGGAATGCTGCTAGGAAATAAGGCTCATCTCCTGAAGAGATAGGCACACTGTGCCTAGGTTGTACTTCTTTAGATCACAAATGGGAGCAATGGTAGATATTCCTAAACGCACAAAAAAAGAACAACAAGCCCTCATCTATAAAACATCTACCTTAGCTTTCTCTTTGCCATGTTGACTTTTGACACTGAGGAATTTGTTTTTGTTTTTATGGGGGAGTTTTAAATAAATGAACATCTACCTGCCAGTTGAGGTAATACAATCCAGACATAGGTTTAACATCTCAGTGAGAAGTGAGCCAGAGAATTATAAGAACTCTGGGTGGAGGCTGTTTCTCTCTTCAAGGATTATGCAACATATGGAAAGATATGATTGCCTTGGAGGTAGCAAACATGGGAGGAAACCAATTATGACCAGGAAGGCTCATCCCAAGGTATGTAAAAAATATTGCTTCCCTTGCATTCAACTCCTGCTCAACTGAAAAATTAGCACAAATATACCAAGAGACAATCCATACCTCCAACTTATACTGGGTGAAGCTAAGATATGCCCCACTGATTTCACCAAATTGGGTTTAACAGTTAAAGTGAGCAGCTGAGTAACATAACCCAGAATGTGACCAACATATAAATTGAGAGCATACATGGGTGAAATGCTTAAGAAAAAAAAAAAGACAAAGAGAATGTTGTTTATCTGAAATGGGAAATGGAGTTGTCAAATTTTAACTGGAAGCAATAAAAAAACCGTAGCAAGATACGTGCTCCGATCCAACTACTTACAACTTTTTTTTTATAAATAGCACAGTTTCTGATACTTGATTGAAATGAATGATAAAGAAACCTCAGTAGGAAGTGTTGGTTCTGCCACAGCAGCTTTAACTTGGAGGCTGATATATAAAATAGAGGAGTGGGAATGGCTGCCAGGGAATGTGTTCTTCCAGTAATCCATCCTTTTTCAAGAGGCGTATGGCATGGTAATAGAAGACACAGGAAATTGCTTTATACTTAGTCAAATACCAACTCTAATACCATCAACACTGACTGGTAGCAACTCTCAAAGCTTTCTAGCTCTATCTGGAGTTGCTCAATA